AGCCAGTCTCCAGACCTTAATCCCATAGAAAATCTGTGGAGGGAGCTGAAGGTTCGAGTTGCCAAACGTCAGCCTCGAAACCTTAATGACTTGGAGAAGATCTGCAAAGAGGAGTGGGACAAAATCCCTCCTGAGATGTGTGCAAACCTGGTGGCCAACTACAAGAAATGTCTGACCTCTGTGATTGCCAACAAGGGTTTTGCCACCAAGTACTAAGTCATGTTTTGCAGAGGGGTCAAATACTTATTTCCCTCATTAAAACGCAAATCAATTTATAACATTTTGACATGCGTTTTTCTGGGTTTTTTGTTGTTATTCTGTCTCTCACTGTTCAAATAAACCTACCATTAAAATTATAGACTGATCATTTCTTTGTCAGTGGGCAAACATACAAAATCAGCAGAGGATCAAATACTTTTTTCCCTCACTGTAGGAAAGAGAGCCATACGAGTTGCATGTCATGTAACTTCACCAAATAACATTATTGGACTTTGAAGCCCGCTTTTTCTTTTATTCAGAGAAGCAAGGACATTTGCCGTTAATCTCTGGTTCAACCGCAAACCTTGAAATAGGGGACATTCAGCTCAGTGCTCCTGCTAGTCAGAGAACAACAAAACAGCTTTTCATGTGGCAAGAGTTTCAGGCTGCTCTATTGGAACTTTCGCCTGTCAATAGATTTCAAGACCTGTAAAAGGGCTACATCTACGGTGAAAGAGCAATGACCCTGAGTATGTCCTGACCATGTAGAGTGCATTCGGAAAGTATTCAGACCCCTTGACTTTTTCCACATTTTCTTACGTTACAGCCTTATTCTAAAATGGATTACATTATTTTTTTCTCTCATCAATCTACAAACAATACCCCATTATGACAAAGCGAAAACAGGTTTTTAGAAAATGTATTAAAAATAAAAAACTGAAAAAACGTGTTTACATAAGTATTCAAACCCTTTGCTATGAGACTCGAAATTGAGCTCAGGTGCATCCTTTTTCCACTGATCATCCTTGAGATGATTCTACAACTTGATTGGAGTCCAACTGTGGTAAATTCTATTGATTGGACATGAATTGGAAAGGCACACACCTGTCTATATAAGGTCACAAGTTTGACAGTGCATGTCAGAGCAAAATCCTGTACCCCCGCACATTGACTCGGTACCGGTACCCCCTGAATATAGCCTAATTATTGTTATTTTATTGTGTTATTATTATTATTTTTTACTTTAGTTTATTTAATAAATAATTTCTTAACTCTATTTTCTTAAAACTGCATTGTTGGTTAAGGGCTTGTAAGTAAGCATTTCATGGTAAGGTCTACTACACCTGTTGTATTCGGCGCATGTGACAAATACAATTTGATTCGATTTGAATTTGATTTGAGTTCGAATGAATTGTCTGTAGAGCACCGAGACAGGATTGTGTCAAGGCACAGATCTGGGAAAGAGTACCAAAAAATTTCTGCAGCATTTAAGGTCCCCAAGAACACAGTGGCCTCCAATTCTTAAATGGAAGAAGTTTGGAACCACAAAGACTCTTCCTAGAGCTGCCCGCCTGGCCAAACTGAGCAATCGGGGGAGAAGGGCCTTGGTCAGGGAGGTGACCAAGAACCCGATGGTCACCCTGACAGAGATCCAGAGTTCCTCTGTGGAGATGGGAGAACCTTACAGAAGGACAACCATATCTGCAGCACTCCACCAATCAGGCCTTTATGGTAGAGTGGGCAGACGGAAGCCACTCCCCAGTAAAAGGCACATGACAGCCCGCTTGGAGTTTGCCAAAAGGCACCTAAAGGACTCTCAGACCATGAGAAACAAGATTCTCTTGTCTGATGAAACCAAGATTGAACTCTTTGGCCTGAATGGCAAGCATCACGTCTGAAGGAAACCTGACACCATTCCTATAGTGAAGCATGGTGGTGGCAGCATCATGCTGTGGGGATGTTTTTCAGCGGCAGGGACTGGGAGACTAGTCAGGATCGAGGAAAAGAACGCAAACCCCCTTGTTGATTATCCCTTACATATCGTTGTTAGAAATAATACTATATTTCCCTTGATGTAGTGATGGGAAGGGAAGCACAGCCGCGAGCTGCCCAGTGACACAAGACTTCCAGACGAGCTAAACCACTTCTATGCTCGCTTAGAGGCAAGCAACACTGAAGCATGCATGAGAGCACCAGCTGTTCCGGATGACTATGTGATCACGCTCTCCGTAGCCGATGTGAGTAAGACTTTCAAGCAGGTCAACATTCACAAGGCCGCAGGGCCAGACGGATTACCAGGACATGTACTCCGAGCATGTGCTGACCAACTGGCAAGTGTCTTCACTGACATTTTCAACATGTCCCTGACTGAGTCTGTAATACCAACATGTTTCAAGCAGACCACCATAGTCCCCGTGCCCAAGGACTCTAAGATAACCTGCCTAAATGACAACCGACCCGTAGCACTGACGTCTGTAGCCATGAAGTGCTTTGAAAGGCTGGTCATGGCTCACATCAACAGCATTATCCCAGAAACCCTAGACCCACTCCAATTTGCATACCGCCCCAACAGATCCACAGATGATGCAATCTCTATTGCACTCCACACTGCCCTTTTCCACCTGGACAAGAGGAACACCTACGTGAGAATGCTATTCATTGACTACAGCTCAGCATTCAACACCATAGTGCCCTCAAAGCTCATCACTAAGCTAAGGATCCTGGGACTAAACACCTCCCTCTGCAACTGGATCCTGGACTTCCTGACGGGCCGCCCCCAGGTGGTAAGGGTAGGTAACAACACATCTGCCACACTGATCCTCAACACGGGGGCCCCTCAGGAGTGCGTGCTCAGTCCCCTCCTGTACTCCCTGTTCACCCATGACTGCATGGCCAGGCACGACTCCAACACCATCATTAAGTTTGCTGACGACACAACAGTGGTAGGCCTGATCACCGACAACGATGAGACAGCCTATAGGGAGGAGGTCAGAGACCTGGCCGTGTGGTGCCAGGATAACAACCTCTCCCTCAACGTGACTAAGACAAAGGAGATGATTGTGGACTACAGGATAAAAAAGAGGACTGAGCACGCCCCCATTCTCATCGACGGGGCTGTAGTGGAACAGGTTGAGAGCTTCAAGTTCCTTGGTGTCCACATCACCAACAAACTATCATGGTCCAAACACACCAAGACAGTCGTGAAGAGGGCACGACAAAGCCTATTCCCCCTCAGGAGACTGAAAAGATTTGGCATGGGTCCTCAGATCCTCAAAAGATTCTACAGCTGCACCATCGAGAGCATCCTGACTGGTTGCATCACCGCCTGGTATGGCAACTGCTTGGCCTCCGACCGCAAGGCACTACAGAGGGTAGTGCGTACGGCCCAGTACATCACTGGGGCCGAGCTCTATACCAGGCGGTGTCAGAGGAAGGCCCTCAAAATTGTCAAAGACTCCAGCCACCCTAGTCATAGACTGTTCTCTCTGCTACCGCACGGCAAGCGGTACCGGAGTGCCAAGTCTAGGTCCAAAATAATTCTCAACAGCTTCTACCCCCAAGCCATAAGACTCCTGAACAGGTAATCATGGCTACCCGGACTATTTGCACTGCCCCCCCCCACCCCATCCTTTTACGCTGCTGCTACTCTGTTAATTATTTATGCATAGTCACTTTAACTCTACCCACATGTACATATTACTTCAACTACCTCAACTAGCCGGTGCCCCCGCACATTGACTCTGCACCGGTACCCCCCTGTATATATACCCTCCCTACTGTTATTTTATTTTACTTCTGCTCTTTTTTTCTCAACACTTACTTTTTTGTTAAAAAATAAATGCACTGTTGGTTAAGGGCTGTAATTAAGCATTTCACTGTAATGTCTGTACCTGTTGTATTCGGCGCATGTGGCCAATACAATTTGATTTGATTTGATTTGACTTGATTTGCTGAATAAATGTTTTTGCTAAAGCCTACCCCACTCTCCCCTACTGTAAAAGTGTATCAAAGCCTTAAGCACTACTCCATCTGCCCATGAAATACCACTGCCCAGAGGCTGTCATTGGGCAACACAGAGGGCTTCATTAAAATCAGCTGTGAGATGTCAATCAATCAATAATACTTCATCAGCTTTGTAATTGGTCTTGCAGATTTTAGATTATGCTTATTAAATGAATTTATTTTTCATCTAATCAAGAAATGCTGAAACATCTAATCAAGAAATATATTTAAATTCATTGACACACTAATGTTCATTGTCGAATATGAGAACTAAGCACATTGTTGTAACCAATATACTATACAGTGACCTCAAGAAAGGAAAGCACTCATGGATCTATGGTCTCTGGATGTACTCTGACCTCTTGTGGGACACCTGTAGCACTGCATTAGATTGTCAATGGCAGTGGTACGAGTTACGGTAACTTCTAACTCACTTTTCAGAGGTTACTCTTTCAGAGGTTACTCTTTCCAAGAAAATGCATTTATGCTGATATCTAGTGCTCTCAATCAGATGTTGTAAAGAAATATATAATTTGTCCTACAAGCATTAAGCAACAGATATCACAACATGTTCTCAGGTGGATTCTACATAAAAGAGAATTTAAGCAGAAAATTGTGTGTACAAAGCAACTCAGCAGTGGTCCACAAACAGCCAGAGAAAAGCATGCATAGAAAGCAGTAGATAGAAGATGAGTGGAGTTGGAGTTAGTGGTCGTCAGCAGGCTGGCTGGCCCAGAGAGAGGCAGGGGGCGAGCAGAGCCCTAGTGACATCTCCAAACATGTCAGCACAGTGGGGTGGACAACACATCCCACCCTGCCCTCTGCACCCGATCACAAGATCAACAAGGACAAAGCTGTTTTCCCTCGACCCCCACACCACCCTGTCAGCCCCAACCGAGACAAACAGCCGCTGGATAGGGGGAAACTGTTCCGCAGGTGTCCTCTGCTGAGGATCCTTTCATATTTCCATATTTGATACTCATCCTTTGGACCTGAACCTGCCCTTGAGTCAGTTAGCCATGGTTGCTCCAGTGTTCTCCATACTGGGGTACATCTACTCTCTTAGCCTCCTGCTCCTGCTGCTGCCTGGTTGGAGCCAGGGCAGTCCCATCATGTCCCCTGAGGAGCCTCGACGGGGCCCGGGGGCCAGGGATCTGGTGGATACCTCCATGTTGGAGCAGGATCAGGATGTAGACCTGGACATGCAGGACTTTCTGGGTCAGTTTCTGTCTACGTTGAACCTCACAGAACTGGGGCCCCGGGCAAGGCCCCGTGCCGCCCGTAAAGAGCCACCAGAATACATGCTGGAACTGTACAACCGCTTTGCCAACGATCACAAAGCGGTGCCCTCTGCCAACATAGTTCGTAGTTTCAAGAATGAAGGTAGAACACTTACTTTTATTTGTCTGAAGACATTTTAAATGTAATTTGTTTGACATTTTCTTACTTTTATCATCCTGAAAATGTATCTTTGGATATGATTAATTGTTTATTGAGCTAACATTATAAAGACACTCAAATTAGTTTTGTTTAATTTGAGAACTATAGCATTATACAATTTATTGACTAATAAAACTTAAAAAGTATGTTGAAAGGTATACATAGCTGTTTGTTTTCTTTTAGAAAAGTTAAGATTTGACTGTAACTGTAAATCACTCTTTGTTTTGGGCTCAGGTTAACTGAGGTTGACTTTAAAGCATTCAAAGTCTTATGAAGTTCAGCCCTAAATTGACAAGAATAAAATATTTTATTTGCCCTTAAAGAAACGTTTACTAAATTGAAATTTAGTAGGTGCTTATTTCCTCTTCTTGAAGTCAGATGATATGATTGCAATAAAATCTAACCATTTACAAAAGAGCTAAAATTAAACCCTTATAATTGATGCATTATTTCATATCAAATTGATTAAATCCAATTTAAATCTAAACCCAATTCAGACCTTCATTGATATTTTAATTCCAGATTCCTCCCCCTACAGTGTGACGGTCAGGGGCATGAGGACACACCCCCTGCTGTTCAACATCTCCATCCCCCACCATGAGCACATCTTCACCGCCGAGCTCCGCCTCAACACCCTGGTCCAGAGGGACCGCAGACGCTACGCCGGCCTTGACCGCAAGGTGACAGTCTACAAGATACACAAGGGGGGGCACTGGAGGAAAGAAGAGGGGAGGGACGGAAAAAGGAATGAGCAGGAGACAGCCGAAATTGAGGAAATGGAGGAGATGGAGGAGCTGGCAACCCGGCACATCTACGGTAAAGATGATGTCTGTGTTACCTTCGACCTGACCAATCAGGTCAACCTTTGGCGGAAGGAAGAGAGCTCCACCCACCGACTGGAGGTCCACATTGCAAGTCTGAGGTGCAAAGGTGGGAAGACCCGCCAGGAGGTCAGAAAAGAGGATGGAAGGAAAGAGTTGGTTGATGTGGATGTTGACATGGGCTCGGATGGTAAACACAAGCCAGTGGTGATTGTGTTCTCAGATGATCAAAGCAGAGACCATCGTGAGGAGGACAAGGGGGAGCTCAACCAGATGATGGAACATGAGAACGACCTGCCGGCTGACCTGGAGCTGAGTCCACACGGGAACCGGGGGGACCAGGCTGGGAGCGATGCTAGGAACACTGGTGGAGAGGAGCTGGATGAGGAGACTCTCATGCAACTGCACTCCAACCTCATTTACGACACTCCTCTCCGAATCCGCCGCAACGCCAAGGGTGACCCCTGTAAGAAGATCCCTCTCTATGTGGAGTTTAAGGACATTGGCTGGGATACCTGGGTCATACAGCCCATGGGCTATGAAGCCTACGAGTGCAATGGTGTATGCAGCTACCCTATGACCTCTGAGGTCTCGCCTACCAAGCACGCCATTGTCCAGACTCGGCTGAGCAGTAAGATTCCACAGAGGGTGTCACCAGCCTGCTGTGTTCCCACCAAGCTACAGCCCATCTCACTCCTTTACGAGGATGGAGGAGTGGTCACATACAAGCACAAGTACGAGGGCATGGTGGTGGCAGAGTGCGGCTGTAGATAGTCATAGAACTGACTGAAGGTTCAGGAGAGAATTATAGAGACTTTGGATTAGCATAGACTGATTTCACCAATTTCATCAATTTCACTATCAAAGAAGAAAACCAGATCAAAAGTGCCGATTTGAAAATAACACATCCATTTCCACAAGCATCAAGGATACTTGCTTTGTGAGCTAGAAACAGACATATAGTAGTTTATAAACATAATGAATACAGTGTACCATATTTAGGGCATGAATCATTTCTATATACAGTATCTAATGAACACGCAGCTTCAACTACATTTTAAGATAAAGATAAACAGTGGAGGAGTAAATAGGAAGATGACAGAGCAAAAGGGTGCATTATATGATGGGAAATGTGCCATTTCTAAAAGTACATTTCCTATTATATGGAGATTATATAAAATGCTATTTTACAATGCCAGCAATATAATGTAATTTTGTAAAACAAAAGAGAAACACAAAAAAAGATGTGGAATGTGAATATTATGCTGTTCTTTGTGGTATGTATATGTTTGTCATCTTACATTTTACTTTTATCATGACGATTTATTGGTATGTACTGTCAGATATGCACAAAACTCTATTGGTTTAAATGACAGAAAATGATAACAGATAACTCCTACATGTACAGTATATATACAGTGCATCCGGAAAGCATTCAGAGCCATTGAGTTTTTCCACATTTTGTTACATTACAGCCTTATTCTAAAATGGATTCAATTGTTTTTTTCCCTCATCAATCTACACACAATACCCCATAATGACAGAGCAAAAACAGATTTTTAGAAATGTTGTCAAATTTATTAACAATAAAAAACTTAAATATCACATTTACATAAGTATTCAGATTCTTTACTCAGTACTTTGTTGAAGCACCTTTGGCAGCGATTACAGCCTCGAGTCTTCTTGGGTATGACGCTACTAGCTTGGCACACCTGTATTTGGGGAGTTTCTCCCATTCTTCTCTGCAGATCCTCGCAAGCTCTGTCAGGTTGGATGGGGAGCGTCGCTGCACATTCATCTTTCCCTCGATCTCGATCCTGACTAGTCTCCCAGTCCCTGCCGCTGAAAAACATCCCCACAGCATGATGCTGCCACCACCATGCAAAGTTCAATCTTTGTTTCATCAGACCAGAGAATCTTGTTTCTCATGGTCTAAGAGTCCTTTAGGTGCCTTTTGGCAAACTCCAAGTGGGCGGTCATGTGCCTTTTACTGAGGAGTGGTTTCTATCTGGCCACTCTACCACAAAGGCCTGATTGGTGGAGTGCTGCAGAGATGGTTGTCCTTCTGGAAGGTTCTCCCATCTCCACAGAGGAACTCTGGAGCTCTGTCAGAGTTACCATCGGGTTCTTGGTCACCTCCCTGACCAAGGCCCTTCTCCCCCGATTGCTCAGTTTGGCCGGGCGGCCAGCTCTAGGAAGTCTTGGTGGTAACAAACTTCTTCCATTTAAGATTGATGGAGGCCACTGTGTTCTTGGGGACCTTCAATGCTGCAGAAATGTTTCGTACCCTTCCCCAGATCTGTGCCTCGACACAATCATGTCTCGGAGCTCTACGGACAACTCCTTTGACCTCATGGCTTGGTTTTTGCTCTGACATGCACTGTCAACTGTGGGACCTTATATAGACGTGTCTGCCTTTCCAAATCATGTCCAATCAATTGAATTTACCACAGGTGGACTCCAATCAAGTTTTAGAAACATCTCAAGGATGATCACATTTCTAAAAATCTGTTTTCGCTTTGTCGTGATGGGGTATTGTGTGTAGATTGATGAGGATTTTTATTTATTGAATCAATTTTACAATAAGGCTGTAACGCAACAAAATGTGGAAAACGTCAAGCGGTTTGAATACTTTCCGAATGCACTGTACATGCTGTTATATAAATATAACCATATATTCTACATGCAAAGACAGAGGCTCATTCTAAAAGAGAGCAGAAAGAATGGTGTTTGATATTTCAAATATGAGTGCTTCCATGATGGACTAGATGTAGTAAAATGTGAAATTAAATGTATTATAGAAATGTATTATAGAAACACGTGTTATAGAAATGTATTATAGAAATGAAACTTTGTTTGAGGTCCTCTTTTACAAAGGCCTGTGGACAAGCCAAGAATACATGTTCACTACAGAAGTAAATCTTGCTTTGAATAGAGTGGCCTTGCGCAAAATGGCTTTGATCAATGCAATTGCCATGTGGAAAACCTTTCAAGAATGGCATGGCTCCCAAAGTTTAGGGTAATACCAATTACCCTACCGAAGACATTCTTTAAAAAAGTATACTCGGTCATAACAGACTTTATATGGGCTAATAAAATTCATAGAATAAAAAGGAACGTTTTACATCTACCTAAGTCTGAGGGTGGTTTTAACCTTCCAGACTTGGAATATTGTATCAATTTGCTACCTAAGGCTTTTACTTGCCACATTTACAGTACCAGTCAAAAGTTTGGACACACCTACTCATTTAAGGGTTTTTCTTAATTTTTTTAACACATATGGAATCATGTAGTAACCCAAAAATTGTTAAACAAATCAAAATATATTTTATATGTGAGATTCTTCAAATAGCCACCCTTTGCCTTTATGACAGCTTTGCACACTCTTGGCATTCTCTCAACCAGCTTCACCTTAAATGCTTTTCCAACAGTCTTTAAGGAGTTCCCACATATGCTGAGCACTTGTTGGCTGCTTTTCCTTCATTCTGCCGTCCGACTAATCCCAAACCATGTCAATTGGGTTTAGGTCGGGGGGATTGTGGAGGCCAGGTCATCTGATGCAGCACTCCATCACTCTCCTTCTTGGTAGAATAGCCCTTACACAGCCTGGAGGTGTGTTGGGTCATTGTCCTGTTGAAAAACAAATGATAGTCCCACTAAGCCCAACCCAGATGGGATGGCGTATCGGTGCAGAATGGTGTGGTAGCCATGCTGGTTAAGTGTGCCTTGAATTCTAAATAAATCACAGACAGTGTCATCAGCAAAGCACCCCCACACCATAACACTTCCTCCTCCATACTTTGCAGTGGGAACTACACATGCAGAGATCATCCGTTCACCCACACCGCATCTCACAAAGACACGCGGTTGGAACCAAAAATCTCCAATTCGGACTCCAGACCAAAGGACACATTTCCACCGGTCTAATGTCCGCTGCTCGTGTTTCTTGGCCCAAGCAGGTCTCTTCTTCTTATTGGTGTCCTTTAGTAGTGGTTTCTTTGCAGCAATTCGACCATGAAGGCCTGATTCACACAGTCCCCTCTGAACAGTTGATGTTGAGATGTGTCTGTGACTTGAACTCTGTGAAGCATTTATTTGGGCTGCAATTTCTGAGACTGGTAACTCTAATGAACTTATCCTCTGCAGCAGAGGTAACTCTGGGTCATCCATTCCTGTTGCAGTCCTCATGAGAGCAAGTAAAATAGTAAAAATAAAGAAAAACCCTTGAATGAGTAGGTGTGTCCAAACATTTGACTGGTAGTGTAGTTAAATGCACTAAATAGGAACATTGGGGTACATATTGAAGATGCGCATGCTCATCCCCATAATCTTTTTACTTGTCTATTTTCTAAGAATAAAGCTAAGAACATTAACAACTTCATAGTTAAGAACACTATAACAATATGGAAGAAAATGAAACGTATTCTACGAGAACCAGTATCTCTCCCTAAAAACACAACCTTATGGAATAATCGTGGATAGCTTTTCAGAATTCACAGATAAATTGGTCCAAATGGAAAACCAAAGGCATATAAACCGTAAATGACTTGGTAACAGGAAAAACATTTATTTCCATGACAGAATTAAAAAGTAATTTTGGACTGACCAATGTATAGTTTCAAATACATGCAATTTAAAAGTTACATATCACAAAATTTCGATTTGAAATCTTTTGGACATCAGAGCAACCTTCAATATAGAATGTATTATAGAAGAGACAAATTTCACAAATTCTACAGCACAATGGCAAAGTCATGTCTGAAGTGTAAAACTTACAATGATTAAATAATCCATTCTGTCTGGGAATGCTATAAAGTTGGCTGTCAGAAGTATTACAATGTAAATTTACTTTTAATCTGTCTGTCTGTATATTTCAAAACATAGCATATAGAGGTGTAGTGAGATACCCAATGGGCTGGACGATTCTCTTCTCATCAATCATCTTGAATTTTTTTTCAATTAAAAACTTGGAAATCAATGAATCCACCATCATTAACACAATGGAATAATCTAATGATTTATTATAGAAATTTTGAAATAGCATGGGCAACCGAGAAAAGTGAATTGGTACAATTTAAGGCCATGTGGCAACAATAATGCAGGCACTAGGGATGGAGGCATGAGCATGCGGGTCTGGGCAGAGGAGATGTAGTCGTTGCTTGTGTGCATCTGTAAGTGGTTGTTCTTCTGTGTATGTTTGTATTTGGTATAAAAAAAAACTAAAAGCATATTTTTTTTATATAAATAATAATATGCCATTTAGCAGACACTTTTATCCAAAGCGACTTACAGTCATTGCGTGCATACATTTTTGTGTATGGGTGGTCCCGGGGATCAAACCCACTACCTTGGCATTACAAGCGCCGTGCTCTACCAGCTGAGCTACAGAGGACCATGATATTTGTTTTAAAGAAAGAAAAGGAAAACCTTTCAAGAGGAGTGTCATATCAGGTCAGATAATGTGAAATCAAAGGGTAAACAATATAGAAGGTGTTATTGCTTTTCTTTATTGCAGACAACTTTATGTCTCTGCAAAATGTCAAACCTCTACATTTGTAGAAAGCAGAAGCAGAAAGATACAGATGATGTACAGAGCCATAGATTAAGTTTGCTTGCAAAAAGTAATTTTTCCTGAATACGTAATATACTGTCCATGTCCATGGAACCAAATGAATGTTTTAAATCCTTTCTGCCCACTTATTTGTGGGCTAATCTATCTGCCTCAGTCTGACTCACACCCCCTACGACCCTGCCATCACACATCCTTCTAGAGC